TAATTCAGTCTAGCTCTCATCCCAGTTGCGTAAAAACCCCTCTTTGACCCATTAAAATAGTAGCACGCAACAGTACCACAAACGCATCGAATTGTCTAAATTCGAATGGATCCCTTTTGAAAGATTTACCATGTTGAATATCTTGCAAAAGGAGTTTCGGATCAATTTATAAAGCAACCTGGTTGGACGGTCCATTCTTCAAGTGGGATCATGAAAAAGATAAATTCAAGCGACATGGAGAACGCAAAGTTGTATTGAAATCATTAAAACAAATTACATCCGAGTTTATAAACAAGGTAAAAATGTACCATCTCTAAAGTATAAGTATTATGCTTTTTATTTTCTAATACAGACAAGTTTTCAAAATAGATTCAGACTGCTCTAGAGTGCACCAATGCCCATCTTAAATATTATGGAATAACTAAAAACCCAAAGATAAACGAATATTCGATAGTAATGGATTATGCGCACAAGGGCGGGCGATTTGCGAAAATATCTTAATTCCAACTATGAAACCTTGATTTTGGAAGAAAAATTAAAATATTTAAATGACATTATCTCAGAGCTGAATACAGTTCACACAAAAGACTTTGTTCATCGTGACTTTCACCCTGGAAATATATTATTGCATGTTAATGCTCATATTGCCGACTTTGGACTTACTGGACCAGCAGATACAAATAAATCTAATCGAAAAATTTACGGAGTACTTCCTTATATTAGTCCAGAGGTGCTAAATGGAAAACCATACACTAAAGCTGCAGATATTTATAGTTTTGGATGATTGTATACGAAGTTGTAACAGGTGAACAACCATTTGGTGAACGGAGCCATGATCATTATCTCGTATTAGACATCTATAACGGAGCACGACATACAATACCAAATAATGTTCCTGGATGGTGCAAATTTATTATTGAAAAATGTTGGGAGCCTATTCCAAAAAAAACAGACCATCTGCCAAGAAACTTTTCGACTTTATCAACTCTATCTGCTTTACAGATATCAACGATGAGAAGTGGAAACCGAATATTTTGCATTTTCAGTACTACAGTGCTTTAGAATGTCCTAAAACAGATGAAGAAATCAAGGAGTGTCTTCGACTAGAAAGGCAGAGACTAAATGAAGTGAGATATCAGAAGAGCTTTTCTACAAATACAAACAAAAAACGACAAATTCACCCAAAAGCAGTTTACACTAGTCGAATCTTTACTTCGAAATTAGTTAAGAATTTCAACGAATATTATTTAAGGTTTAAAAGTGTCAGTTTGTATGTTCCGGATGAAGGTAAATTTACATGATATAATACATGTATTGGTATTATGTCAGTATATCGATATGTCTCATAAGAGTTTAATATTTATAATGGAAAAGAGGAAAAGATGCCGAAAGAAAAACACAACGTGAGCTTTTTTTCGTAAAACTAAATTTTAAAGATCATAAAACGAACAATAAACGTCCTATTGAAAATGTGTCGGAAGAATCAAATAAACGGTTTGTTTTCAATAGAGACGAAAAGAATTATGTTCAAGGTAAAATTTCAAGTAGTCTTGAGAAATATTTAAAGTTTATTCCTATTAAAATATTTTTATTTTGTATTTTAGCGACTAAGCAAGTTGTATTTTTCGTTTTATAAAATCAATATTAATATACTAAGACACTTGTTTGCGTGTATCTCTAGCATATGCGACTAACATCGATATTGATGCCGAATCTACAACTGCTAGTTTATATGTTCAAAACGAAACAAATGAAGGTAAAGTCACTTTGATCTTCTTTTTTATTAATTTAATTAACGTTAATCGCTATTTTTTCTTTGTAGTGCAAGAAAAAATAACGAGAACAAGTGAAGATTCCGATCAACATCAAGAGATTACTCGACTCAATTTAATTATTACAAAAACAAGGTGAATGGGAACATGAACGACAAAATTTATTACATAGGCAATTTGAACTTGAAAAGGAAAAGGGAAATAAATCTATTGAACGAAAATGAAAATTTAAAAATTAGAATTAGACAATAGCGATAGCGATAGCGATACATGTACGTACGTAGTAATATTGTTACGTGAATCTCGTAATTTATATAAAAGAGAAGGATCTTCCTATAAATGGGAGAGCATGAGTTTTAAAAATCTCTATCCTCTTTTTCCTTGCAAGCATTATAGTGTAAACTGGTCCAAAAATGTTGACAAGTATCACATAAATCCGTTCTTGGATTCATGATTTGAATATGAGGCGTTAATTGGTGCCATAACTTGCGAAATGTGTCATATTTTAATAATTTCAATGTGCTGTTTTCTTCAAGAAAGTCGTGATAAATTTATAGCTTGTTTCAGCTGGTAAGCATATAAGTGATTGGATTATTTCTTTCTGGACTTGGTAGTTCATGAACTTCAGCATAATTCTTGAGAAAATTTTTTACAATTGTAGCAACGTTTTTATCAATTGTTACTTTGGTTTTCCATCGCGGCATTCTTTTATGTTGCCATGTTCAAAATAAGTGCGACCAATTCCAAGCATGTTAAGATATGGTTTTTGTCAAAGAAGAATATTTCGATTCCAACAATAGAAAGTTTTTTATTAACTCGATCTTTATTTTTAAGATGTCGGCTGGTATTTATTATTCCACCATCCATCGCTATCAACTGAACCTTCAATAATATGTCTTGTTCTGCTTTGGAAAGTAGTTGAAAGACCTCACGCAGTTCAGCAAACTCTTTTTTTAGGGACCATGACTGAGCAACCACAATCGCAACCTATCTCCAAGAAACATATTGCTTTTTCATATTCAGTAGAACTATTCTTCATATTTATATACAGATAATCATATATATAGTTTTAACAACGAATTCATTATTGACCTTCTAGAATTTTTTTCATCAGAAATAATAATAACAATTGTAACATATTAGGATAGCAAAAAGGATTCACACTCAAAGTCTCGTGCATCCACTCACTGGAGTGAACAAATCAAATAAACATCGGGTTCACCCTATTACTAAGATAGCGAAAACTTCTGAATCGCGTGAATAAGGTTGGAACGACTGTTTATTACTCCAGTGATCAATGTCTGGCACAAGAGATGGTACAGATTATGGCAGAATAATGATATGATTAAACTTATAATATTATACATATTGTCATTTGTTATACAGAAACTCTAGCAATAAAACATTTCTTCTTTATTAGCATAAACTTTCTTTTTTCACAAAAACTCATCGATTACGTTTTAGCAGTTCCCCACTAACTTAACCTTCCTCCTCTGTTTCGGAGTTGCTATCTCTGTCGTTTTCATCCAGTGTTATGGTTTGCCAGGAGTTTTTTGTGTTGTAAACGTGAGGATTCATTCTTGTGATTAGGATCTTTCGTTCTTCTGTACTCTGAAGATAGCGGGGTTCTGCCCATGTTTTCAACATTATTTTTAGTAGTTTTGTGATATCTGAAGCAGGTGCGGATTGTACTGTTGCAGTAGATGAGGTTGCTTCCATAACTTGTGCCGAGTTTGAAAAAATGCCATAAATTTCACTTGACAAGCCAAACAACACAATGGATGTCTGGTAATGTATACGACTAGCAGTAGCATCTGATTTAGAACGTTTCACTGATCCAATATTGTCTGCATAATTCCTCTTCAAATTTCCCTTTTTATTTGCCCTCGTTCCAGGCTTCAACAAGGTCTCTGGTTGTTCAAGTTCTTCCAATGTTTCTTGTGACGCGATCAGGACTGGGAAGTTCAAATGATGCTTTCAGTGCTTCTAATTGCATGTAAAGAGCGACAAATGGATTTTGTGCAACTTTTTCAATACCAGCATTATCTGGAGAAAGTAATGATGTTGCTGTCATTAGATAAATAGGGTCCTTTCCGCTTTGATAATTTTTAACTTGGATCAAGACATATGTTACTTTGTCGAAAGAAAATTCCTCATCCTCATGAATATTAATCAACAACGGCAGTATTAAGTCCACACTGACTTAATTTCTCTTGCAAATTACTGCGGCTCCACGTCGAAAAAACTCAAGAAGCTGTTTTGGGGATGGTGTATATGTAACATGAATGAAATGGGTGAACCTAATTCTCGCATTTTGTAATTCTGGTGAAAGTTTGTCTTGAAGTTCCCGCCAAACTTCCGGAAAAAGGAGATCTTTGAAATATTGCTGCAATGTCATTGGACGTGAGAACTGATTTGCTACTTGGGTATGACTATACTCGAAGCAGGCTTTATCCCATGCCATCATCAAGATCAATCGGGCAACTAACTCTCCTCTGTATCCACCTTTTACTGATCCTTCCCTGAGAGCATTAATAAGTGTGCCAACAAAATGTGATAACCCGATTACGTTAATATTATTTGTTATATGGACTGACGCTTCTGCAAGTACTGGATCCGATGCATAACTGACTCACAAGTATCGGATAGATAATAGCACAAACTCATATAACTAGCAACAAGTTCTGTAGCCAATTCAGTCTGGGATACAACGTCAATACACAATCGTGCTCCGAGAAATGCAATGGATTCTGATATTGTTATTTTCTCGGTATGCTTCTTTGTGATCCAATCTTCAAAGTCGAGACCTCCAATCAACTTGCTTTTTGCTATTTCTAGTTCTTTTCAGGAGTTAACACATATTTACTTGAATAAGTATCTTTGACGTTGAGCAATCCACCCCAAAGAGGCCCGCCATAACGAAAGAAGTATTGTGGTGATGCCACTTGGTGTAACGTCTTTGGTTCTGTTTCTTCTGTCATGAAAATGTCCAATGTGGCAATATGATAAAATGGCGGATATACAGCCAACCTGTTCTTCTGAGCACGAAAAGAACTGTCACGATGAGCTGCTGGAGCAAAGTTCGATATTTTGGATGCTGTATCGGTGACAATAGCAAATGCACGGCCACCTGATACATATGTAGGTAATGTAGCTAGTGCATGTCGCAAACATTCGAAATTCGTTTTGTCACGACTTGGATCTCTTTCAGTCAATATTCTAGCTTCATCGAATATGAACAGTAATTGTACCCAACGGGAAAATTGCATCAGGAATTTTACGCAATATATAAGCAATTTATCAGCAATGCATAATGAATTAGTTCC